CACAGATGCTGCCAGACCTGCTGGGCTTTTCCAGCAGCTTTGTTTTTGTTCCTGATTTACAGCATCCACAGTTCTTTTGGCTCTCACAATAAGGAGTCATACATTTAAGACAGAGATGAGAAGTAATTCTTCCTCTCAAAAGGTTGTGAACTGTGGAATTCCTTACCACAGAGGGCTGTCGAGGCTGGGCCTTAAGTATATTCAAGGCCTAAAAAGATAGACTTTTAATCAGTTAGGGAATCAAGGGTTGTGGAAAAAAGGCAGCAAAGTGGAGTTGAGGATCCCATTGAATGGTGGAGCAGACTCAATGGGCTGAATGGCCTACTCTGCTTCTATTTTTCATAGTCTTATGTGAAGTCTTATGCAAGATTTAGTGAGTGATATTAATTTCAAATGAATAAAATAAGGGATTAAATTCTCAGTTCAGATTTGAAGTGCCGTAAAAATGGCAACAAAACATACCATTTGTTAAATTACTTTCCCAGGATCATTTCCCAACATATCTGCACAGAGTTTGTTCAAGTCATCCATACATATTCCTAAACAGATTTATTTTCTCACAAATTCATAAAATTAAGTTTTGAGCAAAAATGTGGCGAAGCAGAAAGTCCCAAAGTCCATGCAATTCATAATTACTTCTTTTCTCTGAGATGCAAATGCCTTTGATTGGACTCATATTTAGATAATACGTAGGAGCAGCCCACACAGTCTCTAGAGCCTGCTCACCAATTACTAAGACCATGGTTGACTGTCATCCTCTCAATTATCCTGCCCAGGCTCTATATCCCTGGTTTGGTTCAGACCCAAGAATCAACCTCTGAGCCTTGAATATACTGGGTGACTGAGTACTCCCAGCTCTCTAGGGTTGAGAATTCCAAAGACTCAACTCTGCTTGGAGTAATTTTTTCAACTTTTTAAAAAATGCTTTCATTGAACGTGGGTATCGGTGGTAGAGCTAGCATCTGTTCCTCATTCCTAATTACTGTTAAGAAGGTGGTGGTGCGCTCCTTTTTGAGCTGTCACAGTACATCTGGTACAAGCACAGTCACAATTCTATTATGAATGGAATTCCAGGATTTTGACCACATGGCAGTGAACATTGAAGCTGCTCAAGTCAAAATGGCAAGTAGTTCAGCGTGGAGCTTGCAGGTGATGTGTTCTCATTATCCTAGTCGTTCGAAGTGGAGATTATAAGCCATGATGTGGGAGGTGCTGGTGTTAAGGTCAAAAATCACACGACTTCTCTCACTGACACCTGAAGAATGAGCGAGACTCTGAAAGCTAGTGTCTTCAAATAAACCTGTTGGACTATAACCTGGTGTCGTGTGATTCTTGAAGTTATAAGCATGAGAGGGGTTATCAAGTAGCCTGGGTGATGACTTGTCGCATTGCATCTCATATATTGTGCACTGTTTCCACTGAGAGTCAGCAGTGCAGAAACAAACATCGAATGTGTATTAAGTAGACTACTTTGTTTAGGATGGTATTGAGTGCCTTTGGAGCTGTGGTCATCTGGTAGACTTTGGGGATGCAAGCAGGAAGTTACATGCCTTACAATACCCAACATTTGGCTTCCTCTTGTAGTTACCGTAATTACAAGACTGATCCAGTTAACCGGTTTCATGATGATATTCTCAGGTAATAAAAAAGTTGTTAATTTAAAGAATAGGATATAAGATGGAGTTATAAAAGTTAGAGATGTGTGTTAAAGAGGGTGGTAAAGTTCACGCAATAGGGAGGATTGGAAAAAATTAGAAAAGGAGTTCCAAAACTCTATCTAGTTTGGGTGAAAAATGTGTTTGGGGATAGGGAAGGGTGGGTCAAGAAGCACATGATCTGGAGGGTGAGGAGAAGGTCACACTTGGAAAGAAAAGATCGTAGATAACAGCCTATGGTGTTGGAGGTAGTATATTGGTGTGGATAGAGAATTGACTAATGGGCAGGAAACAGCAAGTATGGATTTCAGATTGACCAGCTGTAACCAGTGGGGTTCCATAGAGATCTGTACTGGGACTGTAACTGTTTTATTTCAATCAAGGAAGGAAGGAAACAAATTTACTGCAGCCAGGTTTGCAGATGACACAAAAATAGGTGGAAAGGCAAGGTGTAAAGGGGACACAAACAGCTTACAGAAAAATATCGACTGTAAGAGGACGTTTCCCTTCATGGGAGAGTCTAGGAGTGGAGGGCATAGTCTCTGAATAAAGGGGTGCCAATTTAAGACCGAGATGTGGAGGAATTTCTTCTTAGAGGGTTGTTTTTCTTTGGAATGCCTTAACATAGAGAGCTATGGGGGCAAAAGACCTTGTGTATATTTAGGGCTGAGAGAGATAGAATCTTGATCAGTCGGGGATTCAAGGGTTACGGGAAGGGGCAGAAAAGTCAGGAATGTTGGCTCAGCCATGATTCTGTTGAATGATGGAGCAGGCTCGAGGGGCCAAACAGCCTACTCCTGGTCCTATTTCTTATTGTCTTGAGGCCATGAAAGTATTTAAACACAAAGATCAGGAAAACAAAACAAATCTGGGTTCACATGTTTTTAAAGGACAATCAGCATCCAGACCAAACATCTCAGCGGCTACTCCTGAATAGTGGATGAATCTCAGGCACGTGCAGTATAAAACTGCATGCTGTGCAAACTATGCTCTCATCAGCAAAACTAAAGAACAGAAGCCTGCACACAACTTGAAGAAAATTTGACTTTTATCTCCCCATCTCTGAAAGTTTATACCTTTGCAACCCTAGGCACAAAAGACAACACTGCAGTTTCAATACGATCCAATAATAATTTGCATTTACATAAAACCCTTATAATATTAAAACTGCCTCAATGTACTTCACAGGAATACAATCAGACCAAAATACCAAAATGAACGGAGTAAGCTGGTCAAAGCAACATCTTCAAGAAAAAGATCAAGATCAAGATCAAGATACCAAGGAATTTAGGGAGGGCAATCCAGAGTTTAGGGCTGCTAAAGGTACAGCTGTCAGTGGAGAGTGAAGAAAGTAACAGACAGAAAAGATGACAGAATTAGAGGAGCAAAGAATCCACAAGAGTGCACGACTGGAAACAGTTACAGAAAAAAATGCAAGGCAAAGGAGAGATTTGAATATGAGCCGGAGAAATTTTAAAATCTCTGCTTGACCATAAGCAAAAGGCAACTGGTGGGAGTTATGATGCGGGCATCATACCTTTAGCTGCGCTTAGTTTGTGGAGGGTGTAAAACTGGAATAGTAAAGTTTGCAAGTAATTAAAGCATGGATGATGATGGAAGGAAATAATGAGGCCACATCCCCAGACAGTAAAAAGGGCAAAAAACAATCCCACTTTTTCTCCACAGTCAAGTCCTTGTGTTCTCTTCCATCTCATATCCCTCCATGCCTGACAGAATATGTCCTGTGTTTGACAGATTGCAAACATGGAAAGGTAACCTTTCCAGCAACGCCCACTTCACACTCTTGTGGATTCATAAAATGAGCACCCCAAACCTGACAACAATAGCCTATGCAGCAAAATATGAGAGTGAAGATTTAATGCCTATGGAAATTTTTCAACTTTAGGCCAATAGTAACAAAGTTGGTATTGTTTCAGCATCTTAATCATCTATCTAATCTAGGATCCAAGGACACCAAACTCCAGAAATGGTGGGATTTAGTGCGTTGAACAATGTAATGTGCAGAAATACAATACCTTTTCATCTAAAGCTTTGTGGTGTTCAAATAACGATTTGAGTGCTTTCAGAACTTCTACTTCACTCGAAACTCCTGCAGGTGATTGAGCTTGCCTCTTTACCACTGTCATTCTGAGTGATCGTTCGTGTCTGGAAACGAGACATTCGAGGTGTTCTAAAAGTAGCTGTAATACAAATAACAAAGATTAAACTGATACAATATTTTGACACTTTAAAAACACACCACTCTTGATTTTACTGTTGCAACAGAAACAGTGAAATCATAATCTTATTTATCTCAATAAATCATTAAAAACTATTATAGTTTCAATAATCTAACTTGCAGGTTTCCCCTAGCAGGAATCAAGTGAAAAACATGCTTTTGCATGGTAGATTCTCATCAATTCACAGCACAGCAGGAGCTCACCCTTGTAACGATTTTCCCTTCAGCCCTGAAAGAAGTTCCATAGACTCCAAAAACCTATTGACACCTTTCCAAATGGCCATTAGTCACCAGGGTGGCAAGATCACCACCTCTTCTGCTCTGCTAAATAGCAGTCAAGTATTAATTCCCACAGCAGTTATCTACTCAGATCAGTTCAGAGACAGAATCTGCCAGTTGCTGATCTTTATCATTCAGTACCACACCATCAATCACACTTAAACATTCAGTTATGGTCACCAGCAGCTAGGAAATAAACAAAGTAACACAGTTAAATTCTTTATTATTCCATTGACACACTTTAATTGATATTATTCTGCAATAAATTTGAAAATGTCCAAGGAAATCTTCAGTTGATAAATATTTTGTGCAGTTCAAGCCTCAAAAAGACACAGCCATATAGTTCTACAAATAAAAGTATTTTTAAACTTGCCTGGAGTTTGATTTGGCCTCCTCATAAGTAGAACTGTCACTTTGTCTGTTTCCAAATCCAAATACAAAGATTATTTAAACAGCACTTAATCTCTGATTTGGGAAACAGAGGTTATTTATTAGTGTTTACTAGGTGGTAATGGGTAGAATTTTGGAAGCTATTGTTAACCAACAAATAATGCTTCAACTTTAACCTGGGAATATAAAAATAATAAATCCAACATTTTTTGATAATTTATAAAATAAATCATTATTTTGTTACAAGTGACAAAATTCTACAGTGGGTCTGCAAATGTAGACTCCATTAACATTCTTAATTTGCATTAAAGTTACAACTACATAGGTTTTAAGTATTTATAGTTTAGTTACCCGAGTGTTATTTCTTTCTGCTTTCAGTTCAGAAATTTCTTCCTCTCTTTCCAGGAGATGCTCTCTGCATACATTTAATTCTTTTGTGAGTGCTGCAAACTCCTTTAAAAGAAAAATAGAACTGGTTTAAATCTAGACATTTACTGTCAAACAGAACCATAAAACAGAAAAATCTAACTTTTCTCCCATTCAACTAAATGGGAGAAAATTCATCTAAACTAGTGTTCAGTTACAATTATACCTATTCACAGAAATGCAAGGATATCTTTGGTCTGCTCGTTATATACTAGAGATGGGTGTTGAACCTGAGTAAATAGTAATATGTGACTGAGTCAATAGCAACAGGAAGCTCCTACAAACGAATCCATAACACCATAAGAAATTGGCCTAGTCAGTTCCTTTCAGCCCGTCAGGTCTACTCGACTATTTAACAAAATCATGGCTAATCTGATAACCCTCAACTCCAGCTTTCTTCCTTTTCCCTGTAACCCTTGATTCTTTCACTGATTAAAGATTTGTTTCCCTCAGCCTTGAACATACTCAATGACCCAGCCTTGATAGCCTTCTGCGGTAAAAATATCTATAGATTCACTACCATCAGAGAAATTTCTCATCTCTATCTTAAGTTGACAGCTCTGTTCAGAAAGGCAATTCCAATCATTAGAAAATCATCAGTTTGAAGATAGGTCCATTTTGTTTCTCTTCACCTTAAGTTTCAAACTTCTCAAATGTTAACATTTCATTTGCAGGTAATTCCAAAGGTGGCAGTGCCACTCCATGTTATTTAAATGGTTATCCTTCATTGAGTGGTTTAGACAGAAGCTGACCCATTTCATTCAAGCGATTACAAAACATTTCCAGTTAGACAGGGAGACAGAAACAGATCATTGGTGTTTTTATCTCACCAAGAGATGCAGAAACAAATGTACAAAATAGGGGCAGGAGGAGGACATTCAGCCCATCAAGCCTGATTCACCATTCAATAAGACCATGAGTGATGTGTTTTTATTTTGAATTGCACATTCCCATCTCCCCGAATAGCGTCCAACAACATTACCTGACAAGAATTTACCTCTCTCTACTGGACCTCCTTTTCACTGCCTTTTGAGGCAGAGGGATTCAAAAGTCACACAAACCTCATTTATGATTTTATTTGCGTCCTGATTCTGGAAGTGAATTGAGCCTATTTCAAGAAGCCATGAGCACCACTAGTCTGGTTAATCCACTTCTATAAATTTAAGCTAACTTCCATTTGCAGAAACTCATCCAGTTCTCTTTGAAGGCCTCTTAGCTGCACACGTTCACTGTATGACATGTAAAATCTCAGTGGTTGATTTGTCAATGCAAAAGCAGGTATTGAGACCAATTTCAGAGAGCAAAATAGCCAATTCATAAGCAGCTTAAGGAGATTTAACCCTTAGGCCAATTAAATGTATGTTTACGTTAAAGTATAGGGGTCCCTGATGTAATTTTTAACAATCCGACATGTGAACGTCTTACAGGAGAAAAACAGAAGTTGCTGGAAAAGCTCAGCAAGTCTAGCAGTATCTGTGAAGAAAAAAAAAATCAGAGTTAACGTTTTGGGTCCGGTGACCCTTCTTCAGAACTGCGTGCTTTTTCTTCACAAATGCTGCCAGACCTGAGCTTCTCCAGCAACTTCAGTTTTTGTTCCTGATTTACAGCATCTGCAGTTCTTTCGGTTTTCAGTAAACATCTTATACTTATGAGCGGCTTTTATATTGTCCTCCACTGTGTTCCAATGGTCTCAAGAATGGAAATCGTTCACAACATAGGGACTGCCTGTACAAATTACATTTCTAGCAACAAAATATTCACCTATTTGTTATCCGCTATTTGCGCATTAACTGATCCCATTCAGCTTTCGGTTGTTATATCTTAAGATGCAGGAGCAAAAACAGGCCACTCAGCCCATCACGTCTGCTCCAAATTTCAATGAGATCATGGTTGATCTAATAACACAACTCCATTTTCCCACCATTTCCCCATAACCCTCGATTCTATCTCAGCATTGAACATACTTCACAACCCAGCCTCAACAACACTCTGCAGTAAAGAATTCCAGATTCATTACCCTCAGAAGAAATTCCTCCTCACCCTGGTCTTGAATGTGTGTCCCCTTATTGTGAGATTATGCCCTCTGGTCAGATATTTCCCCACAACAGGAAAAAGACCATTCCACATCTGTTAAGTCCCTAAGAATCTTGTGTGTTTCAATAAGGATGCCTCTCATTCTTCTAAATTTCAACGAGCACAGGTCTAACTTACTGAAATTCTCTGTGTAAGACAGTTTCTCCATACCTGGTATCAGTTGAGGGGATCTTCTCTGGACTGCCTCCAATGTCAATATCTTTTCCTTAGATATGGAGCCAAAACTGTTAACAATACTCCAGCTGTGGTCTGAACAATCCTCCGTATAATTTTCCAAAACCTCCTAAATTTTGTACTCCATTCAATTTGAAATAAAAGTCAACATTTATCTCCCTTATTATCCACTGAACATAAATGCTAGCTGTTTGCAATTCATGGAGAGGTCCCAAATCTCTGTTGTGTAGCTTTCTGCAGTATTCCTCCATTTAAATTATATTCAGTTCCTCTATTCTTCCTGAAATGCATAACCTCACATTTTCCCACACTACATTACATTTGTTAACAATTTAGCATTTTTCAAACTAAATGATTGCTGCTGTATAATTGTGAACTTCCACACTTCTTTTCCTATTTGATTGTGATGTGGAAGTGCCGGTGTTGGACTGGGGTGGACAAAGTCAAAAGTCACACAACACCAGGTTATAGTCCAAGTTTATTTGAAATCATACAAGTTTTCGGAGTGCAGCCCCTTCGTCAGGTGCAGTGAGAAAGGAGAGCACAAACACGCAGAGTTTATTGGCAGAAAGATCAAAAGATCATACAATTGGTGTGAGTGGAGTGTCAGATAATAAATCTCTGCTGGTGACCAAGAGCGTTAGATGGCAAGCAAGTGTTTATTAAGTCAATGTCAGTGCTGAGCTGTCATGGACTGACTGTGACCACAAATTGCGTTTTTTGAACAAAATAGAAAGTATCTACAAATAAACAAACATCTTGGATGAAATGATTCACTCCATAAAGAGACTGCGTGCACGCATGTGCAAGAGCTTACATGGTCAGAGGCTGTACCATTACTTCAAAACGAAAGCTGCACTTCAAAACCCATATCTTTTGGTACTTACAAATTATTTATATGTTATACGAAAGGAAGAGGGAGCAGGAAGTAAGAAACTAACTTCCTTCTCTGACAACTTGAATCACAAAAAAAATGTAATAAAAAAAGGAATAAATAACAAGTCTAATACAAATTAGCTAAAATAAAATGCCAGCAGGAACTGTTAGACAAACTGTTTGTGCCTTTAGGATTTAAGGCCGGTACAATCCTAGTTCACAACAAATGAGTAAATTATTGAAAGTAAACCTCCCCTAACCTACAACTTCTCAAATACTGACACAGTCAATACCTGGATGCAACAAAACTCGAACATTCAGTCTTGTACAAAATAAAGAACTGCCATGCTGGAATCTTAAACAAAAACAGATATAGAACATAGAACATAACAGCGCAGTACAGGCCCTTCGGTCCTCGATGTTGCGCCGACCTGTGAAACCAATCTGAAGCCCATCTAACCTAAACTATTCCATTATCATCCATATGTTTATCCAATGACCATTTAAATGCCCTTAAAGTGGGCGAGTCTACTATTTTTGCAGGCAGGGCATTCCACGCCCTCACTACTCTCTGAGTAAAGAACCTACCTCTGACATCTGTCCTATATCTATCACCCCTCAATTTAAAGCTACGTCCCCTCGTGCTAGCCATCACCATCCGAGGAAAAAGGCTCCCACTGTCCACCCTATCTAATCCTCTGATCATCTTGCATGTCTCTATCAAGTCACCTCTTAACCTTCTTCTCTCTAACGAAAACAGCCTCAAGACCCTCAGCCTTTCCTCATAAGGCCTTCCCTCCATACCAGGCAACATCCTGGTAAATCTCCTCTGCACCCTTTCCAATGCTTCCACATCCTTCCTATAATGCGGTGACCAGAACTGTACGCGATACTCCAAGTGCGGCCGCACCAGAGTTTTGTACAGCTGCAACATGACCTCATGGTTCCAAAACTCAATCCCTCTACCAATAAAACCTAACATACTGTACGCCTTCTTAACAACGCTATCAACCTGGGTGGCAACTTTCAGTGATCTATGCACATGGACACCGAGATCTTTCTGCTCATCCACACTACCAAGAATCTTACCATTAGCCCAGTACTCTGTATTCCTGTTACTCCTTCCAAAGTGAATCACCTCACACTTTTCCGCATTGAACTCCATTTGCCACCTCTCAGCCCAGCTCTGCAGCTTATCTATGTCCCTCTGTAACCTGCAACATCCTTCCGCACTATCCACAACTCCACCAACTTTGGTGTCATCCGCAAATTTACTAACCCATCCTTCTACGCCCTCATCCAGGTCATTTATAAAAATGACAAACAGCAGCGGCCCCAAAACAGATCCTTGAGGTACACCACTAGTAACTGAACGCCAGGATGAACATTTCCCATCAACCACCACCCTCTGTCTTCTTACAGCTAGCCAATTTCTGATCCAAACCGCTAAAATCACCCTCAATCCCATGCCTCCGTATTTTCTGCAATAGCCTACCATAGGAAACCTTATCAAACGCTTTACTGAAATCCAAATACACCACATCAACCGCTTTACCCTCATCCACCTGTTTGGTCACCTTCTCGAAGAACTCAATAAGGTTTGTGAGGCACGACCTACCCTTCACAAAACCCTGTTGACTATCCCTAATCAAATTATTCCTTTCTAGATGATTATAAATCCTATCTCTTATAATCCTTTCCAACACTTTACCCACAACCGAAGTAAGGCTCACTGGTCTATAATTACCAGGGTTGTCTCTACTCCCCTTCTTGAACAAGGGGACAACATTTGCTAGTCTCCAGTCTTCTGGCACTATTCCTGAAGACAACGACGACATAAAGATCAAAGCCAAAGGCTCTGCAATCTCCTCTCTAGCTTCCCAGAGAATCCTAGGATAAATCCCATCCGGCCCAGGGGACTTATCTATTTTCACACCTTCCAGAATTGCTAACACCTCCTCCTTATGAACCTCAATCCCGTCTAGTCTAATAGCCTGTATCTCAGTATTCTCCTCGACTACATTGTCTTTTTCCTGTGTGAATACTGACGAAAAATATTCATTTAGCGCCTCTCCTATCTCTTCGGACTCCACGCACAACTTCCCACTACTGTCCTTGACCAGCCCCAATCTTACTCTAGTCATTCTTTTATTCCTGACATACCTATAGAAAGCTTTAGGGTTTTCCTTGATCCTACCTGCTAAAGACTTCTCATGTCCCCTCCTGGCTCTTCTTAGCTCTCTCTTTAGGTCCTTCCTGGCCAGCTTGTAACTCTCAAGCGCCCTAACTGAGCCTTCACGCCTCATCTCTACATAAGCCTCCTTCTTCCTCTTGACGAGAGATTCAACTTCTTTAGTAAACCACGGTTCACTCGCTCGACCACTTCCTCCCTGCCTGACAGGTACATACTTCTCAAGGACACGCAGTAGCTGTTCCTTGAACAAGCTCCACATTTCAATTGTGCCCAGCCCCTGCAGTTTCCTTTTCCATCCTATGCATCCTAAATCTTGCCTCATCGCCTCATAATTGCCTTTTCCCCAGCTATAACTCCTGCCCTGCGGTATATACCGATCCCTTTCCATCGCTAAAGTAAACGTAACCGAACTGTGGTCACTATCACCGAAGTGCTCACCTACCTCCAAATCTAACACCTGGCCTGGTTCATTACCCAGTACCAAATCCAATGTGGCCTCGCCTCTTGTTGGCCTATCTACATACTGTGTCAGGAAACCCTCCTGCACACATTGGACAAAAACTGACCCATCTGAAGTACTCGAACTATAGCGTTTCCAGTCAATATTTGGAAAGTTAAAGTCCCCCTTAACAACTACCCTGTTACTTTCGCTCCTATCCAGAATCATCTTTGCAATCTTTTCCTCTACATCTCTGGAACTTTTCTATTGCTAGAGAAACGCAGCAAGTTTTTTTTTTATTCACTCACAGGACATGTGCATCACTGACTGACCCACATTTATTGTCCATTCCTTCTTGCCTTTGTAAAGGTGTTGGTAAGCTGCCTTTTTCAATCACTGCAGTCCATGTACAATAGGGAAACCCACAATGACCCGAGGGAGGAAGTCCCAGTTGACCCAGCCA